AGCAGCAGCAGCAGCAACAGCAGCAGCAGCAGCAGCAACAGCAGCAGCAGCAGCAACAGCAGCAGCAGGTGCCTGGTAGGAGGGAGTGGCCCCCTCCAGAAGATGCCCAGCTGCCCTTCGGTGCACTGAGAGCACCCAGAGCCTCATGGGAGGAAAGGATACTGCAGGCAGAGGTGGTGACAGTGTCTCAGGAGGCAGAGTGGAATCAAATTCAGCCCTTCTTTAGAAGAGAGTTGGAAGATTTTCCAGTACTTGGAATCGACTGTGAATGGGTAAGTTTTAACTTTTAAGGCAGTAACTGAAAAAGAATCTCATTAGTTTCCCCAATTCGGGACATGGGTTGTCAAGAATAGAATCAACCGAAAGGAGATTTACTTTGTTCTTGAGTTGCTTGTAAGTATACTTTAGCAGATGATGCTGATGTCCTCAGAATAGGGGTGACCTTAGATTTGTTATTCTGGAGTCTGCATGAGTTTCATTTTTACTGATTATTCTCTAAACTGGACAAGATAATTATCTTTTCCAAGTCTGTTTACTTATTAGTAATTGGAATGTAAGGGCACCTACTTCCAGTGACTTCTAGGTAATCAAGTAGATAATCCTTATAAAGGCTTCAGTACAGTTTTAATATACAGCAGGTGTGCATCAAATACCAGCTACTTGATAGTTGTCTGGTACACACCTGTAGTCTCAGCACCCTGGGAGGCTGAGGCAAGGGAATCACAGCAAGTTTGAAGCTATCCTGGGCTACATTGTGAATTTGAGGCCATCCTAGGTTACAAAGCAAGACCCTGTCTTGAAACAAACAAAGAAATAAAACCTACCACTACAGCTACCTACCTATTTTAGTTTTTGTTTTCAGTTTGTTTTTTTGCGACAGGTTCTCGGCTGCCCTTGAACTTGTCACATAACTGAGAATAACCTTGAGCTGTCCTTCCTTTACCTCCTTAGAATCAAAGGGGTTCACTACCCCACTGGTTTGTTAATATTTAAAAAAAAAAATTAATGAGTGTTGCCTGCCCATGTGTATGCTACCGTGTCCTCTGTATGCTGTACTGTGGGTTGGGCTCAAGGCTTTACATTCTAGGCAAGTGATTTTTTTTTTTTGAGGAATATTTTTCTTAAGTTTGTGTTTTTGTGATGTGTGTATGTGTATGAGAATGCATGTGTGCCATGGGATACATCTGAAGGTCAGAGGACAATTTTTGGGTCGTGGTCCTAGTCTAAAGGACTTAGAACATTGCAGGAGAAGACATACAGACCAAGCTCATATACATAGAAAATGACATGGCCAATACCTATGGTATTTATCAAACAATGTCACAAGTACTGGAAGGAAGGGTATTTTATAGTTGAGACAACCAAGATTATCAAGAGAAAATAGTATCACAAAAGAATTGCACTAAAAATTCCAGGTGATTATCCCATCTCTGCCTCTCATCTCTCTATGGGAGTGTTGGGATTGCAGATGTGCACCACTACATTGGCTTTTTACATGGGTTCTGGAGATTAAACTCGGGTTAAGATTGTGTGTGTAGTTGGACTTTATTGTCTGACTTTCTTTGGACCACCAACCCCCAAATAATGACATGGAGACTTACTATTAATTATGAAAACTTTGCCTTTAGCTTAGACTTGTTTTCAACTAGCTCTTACAACTTAAATTAACCTGTTTCTATTAATCTACACTCTACCACATGGCTCTTTACCTATCTTCCATTCTGTATGTTTGACTTCTTCCATATCTCGCTGGTGTCTTCCAAGCACCTAGATTCTAACCCTGAAATCCTGCCTATTCTCTCCTGCCTGCTGATTAGCCATTCAGCTTTTTATTAAACTGATCAGAAGGTACCTTGGCAAAGACACACTTCAACAGTGTACAAAAAGATTATTCCACAATAGGTGTGTCTAGTACTTTTACCTCTTATGCCATCTTCTTAGCTCCTGTTAACTGTTTTTTTTTTTTTTTTTGAGACTGGATTTCACTGTGTAGCCTATGCAAGCCCAAAACTCTAGTTTAGTACTGTCTCTACTTCTGAGTATTAGAAATGTATACTCCTCTATTCCTAACTCTTTTTAAAAGATACATTTATAGTATATTTTCTAAAATTTAATCTATTTATGTAATTTTTTTAGGTATGAGTGCTGTGTCTGTATGCATGCCAGAGATGGCTTCAGATCCACTTAGAGAAGGTTGTGAGATACTATGTGGTTGCTGGTAATTGAATTCAGGACCTCTGGAAGAGCATCCAAGTGCTCTTAATCACTGAGCTTTCTCTCCAGCACTGAAATTTATATTATTTTATGTGTGTATATGTGTGTATGCAGGTGCCAGCAGCAGTCAGAAGAGAATGTTGGATCCCTTGGAGCTAGAGTTATAGCCAGTTGTGAGCAGCCCCACTTGAGTGCTGGGAACACAACTTGGGTCTCTGCAGGAGCAGCAAGTGTTCTTAAACAATGAGTTATCCCTCCCATCCCTGTTCCCATCTCTTAAAGTCATTCTTGCCTTTGTGTGTTGGATGGCTCTTTTGAGACAGAATGCCATGTATAGCTGTAATGGACCTGGTGTTATTGTTTTGTTTAAAAAGAAGAAAAGAGAAATATTGATAAGACTATAAGTTTATTATAAGGGCAGGCAGAATGGGGAGACTAAGAAGAGGAACAGGGGTAAATGGCTGACTGCCATGGCCGGTCGCCATAGAGAGACAGAGA